TGCATTGTTGTGCAGACAAAAACCCCCATGTCTACTACTATCGTGGGTAGCTTCAACAACGTCACTGCAAATGATTCGTTAGCCAGGCCAACAAACGACGATGGGCCCCAAGAAGCGACCAGAAATGCAGGGGTGGTTTGTCGGGCCTACCCACTTGCTCGGGCCGGCGATGAGACAAGCTTCGGATTGAGTTTGGGTCGTAGGGCTGGAAGGGAGTAACGCTGACGGCTGCCTCGACACGATGTCGTCACGACGACGAAGCTTCGCAACGAGACGAGCATGAGCCATGGCTTCATTCCGATTGAAGGAAACAACCCGACATGGCAACAACTTTAGAGAAACCCACCAGCGGTGGCAAGCTTGAGAAGCGGGCCGAAAGCGCCTTGCTTCGTCCAGCCACTTATGACCAACCTCGCTCGAGCCGCTGAGGACCATATTGTCACGCTTCTGTAAGGCGGGGTGGGCGCTGAGAAATTCGCTTATGACAAGGCTTTGGCGTGCTTGGTCAAGATTATGGCATGGGTGAAGCAGTCAAGGGCCCCCCATTTGAAGGGGGCGTCGAGACGGGCTGCTACGAGGCCGCCACGACGTTCAACGTTAGCTCGTATGCGGAGTGCCCGCAGCTTGACACATCACACTACCTTACTGCTGCGAAGACGAGAGAGAAATTACCGCGTTGGGTTGACAGTGTCAACTCGGCGGACACACTGAGCTCTTCTTCAGCGCTTTGCACTGCAAAATAACGGCACCTTTGGATGAGCCATGCCGCAACCATGCTGCTGGCCACGGATGCCCTGGCTGGCTATGCCCTCAGCCTGGTCCAGCCCGCGCGTTCTCGCACTCCCACCTTTTGGTTCTAGATCTCAAATTCCAGATATCATAGGCCAAGGCCCCATATTCCGGGGCCGTTGCAAATCGATGGTTCAGGCTGACAGACGACGCTTGGGTGGACATGGAACAGGTACAAGCCGACTTTGCCGCACCTCTGCCATCATCATCATCAGTCATCCCGTGGACACCACGAGTTTCCTCCGGCTACTAACTGACGGTCAAAGCCCTGGTCAGAAGCCGCCTGTCATCGTATCCGCAGCTTGATTGTGCCATGAGAAGTCGCCTCGCTTTCCTCCGAAAGTCCAGTTAACTCTTTGGTTATTGGTTGACATCCCGATCTATCTCCTTGCCTAGCGCACGAAACCCAGAGCAGGAAATCTTACTTATAAGGAGGTACCGAAAACCACCTTGCACACGTATCTAAGCTAACACGACTTGGCCTCACGGAGTGTGCGCCAAGGTATCATAAACCCGCCTGACGTGACGACAAGAACGATTCGTTCTGTCGCCTCCGACTCTGAAGTCCGGTTAGTGTATGAAGATCAACAATACGGAACGCAGAAAAGCTTGGGCATCAGTATCTTGGCGGAGTTCCGCTGTTGCAAAGCTTAGCATCAGCGAACGGTTCACAGCTTGCACTGCTACCTCTGCACCCAACGCCGACGCCATAACACTTCGATTGATACGACGGACGCCCAGCGTATTCTTGACCACAAGACCTATCTCTGAAGTCGATCAACTTCTCCGTCCCGGGGGCGGACTCGGGACATTTCTCCGGTTAGCAATAGACGCACGCCCACGTCCGGGCTCGTATCATTCGCACCAAGGACCTCGTTATTGTTCCAGAAGAGACACCTACAACTGGGGGACTCAACAGCATGTCTGCCCAGTCAACATCATTCTCAACCGTTCCGCCGACGACGTCAACCCGCCGCCGAGCGTGCGCAGCATGTCAGCAGGCAAAACGTCGCTGCGACCAACGATTACCTCGTTGTGGCAGGTGTGTGCTCAAGGCGCTTGACGACTGCCACTACCCCTCACTCGAAGCGACTGTGGCAGCAGCCAACTTCAATCTCTTTGCCGACATGCTCAACAGCGCAGCCACACCTCCAAGTTCGATTGAGCAGCCCATCCCAAACACCCTTTCTTCTGCGACTTCCACTCTAGAGTCAGATAGTCCTTGGCCACCGCTGTTCTACAGCCCGTCCTCCAGCCCATCCAATGGCGCAGTCAACAGAGATGCTGTTCTTTACTGCACGGAGCAGTTCCGCAGTTATCCTAAGAGATGGGTCAAGCAAAATGGCTTTGCACCCTTCATCCACCCCTCTCTCTATCTCCCCTCCTCAACTGGTTGCCCAGAAAGCATATTCCCTCTGACTCTGCAAGATGCATTCTGTGCTTGCGCAGCATATGCTGCCAAGAATGAGGAAAACAGTGATCTGATACTCAGCATTGTCGAGGCCAAGGCCACAGCCCTTCTGTATGCTGACCAGACCGCCTGGAGTCTTCCGGAGCAACTTGGGGCGTTGCAAGCTCTGATCATGTACCAAATGATACGTTGGTTCGACGGCGATATTCGACAGCGTGTCCTGGCTGACGCCGTCGAACCAGTCGTAGCCGCGTGGACGTCAGCCCTGCAGGCTCGTGTCGGCAGTGCTGTACTCCACACCAGTCAAGACGAGTCGGGCGGGAGTTTACCACCAAGTCCGCCGTCCTTCGCGCAGCAGCAGCAGCAGCAGCAGCAGTCATACCAGACGCCACACCAACAACAGCCGCCGCCGCCGCCTCCGCCTATCTTTCCCTGTTCCACCCCTTACTACGCCCCCTTCAGCATGCCGTCCGGGCCTACCGAGATAACACCGGTCCGCACCCCTCCCGGCAGCACAGTGTCTGCCACCTCTGGCACCCTCAGCAAAGAAGACCTTCGCCTGGCTTGGCGCCGTTGGCTTCTCGCCGAGTCGATCCGGCGGACCGTCATTGCGTCGCACATTGTCCGTGAGGTCTACGCAAATGCCCGCCCCAGTGACATAATCTCTTGGACTGGCGGCGGCAGCGACAGCCAGAGCGGACTCGACAGTCCCGGCTCGGGCTCTGCCGTGCTTTCGGACATGTCGTTCACGGCCTCGGCCCGGTTGTGGGGCGCTTCGACGCCGGAGCAGTGGCGTCGGGCCGTGGTGGAGGCATCGGGCCGGGGGCCGGACGCCTCGACTTTCGGCAATGCGCCGCCGAATTGGTGGTGGGTGGAGCGGATGGACTTCTCGGGCGTCTTCGGCGTTGTGGGGTTGTCTAGCGTCGATGAGTTCGCTGTGCTCGCAGCTGTGGTCGTGAGAGGCCGCGAGGCTGTCGAGGATTGGATCACGCAGGGGGGAGGGGGGATCTAAGCCCTACCTGCCTGTCGGCCAGTCTGGACCGGGCTGAAGAGGGGATGAAGCAAGTGACATCGTACAAGGACAACAAGATGGACCGTGATGGAAACGGATCCATTGCTCATACCAACGACACTAGCACGCAACGTTTCAGCAACAAAAGCCAGATCCAGACGGTACACATACGGACGCGGAAAAGCATACGAGTAACGAATTACCGGCCGTTCACGTCACGTTTACTAGCCCGATGTTTCTTTCGATAGCCGAAGGATCGTAGGAATGGGCAAAGAAAGGACGGGGGGGGGGGGGGGCAGGAGCCGCGGCGTGGCTCGGCACCCGAATCAGGCGATGATTACTAGTTCGGAATGCCGAGACCTGGCCATGATCGTGACTACCGACAGGGGAGCGCTACGATCGCACACGCACACGCACACGCACGCGCGCGGGGTAGACGGCGGAGAGGACAAGGCGCTCGCGAGCCGGGGGGGAGCGCAAGCAAAACAGCGAGGAGAGGGGGCACCGGTCAGAAAGTGGAGGTCCAGGCAGCCCAACAGAACGGTACCGAGACGAGCATGGCCCCGTTCTGCCTACATGTGCAACGACTGTCACCCGCACAATGCAGGAAAACGCCCTTCTACCCCAGGAACCGGGGTTGCTTACATTAGTACATGTCTGCAGGCTAAGGAAATAAAACACAACAAGCTCACCCTCTGCGTTGGAACCGCCCAACCGTGTGCGTCCGTCGTAAGCTCAAGCAGGCTCGCCACGAGGATGGGGGACCTGCGTGGAGAAGCCGGAGATGTAGATGTAGTTGAAAGAAGCGTCCTGGGGACCCTCGGAGCCGGCTAAGCGGCTACGCGGCGCGGGCCTCGTCGCCCCTGGGTCTTGCGGGAACTACATCCACCCACAATGGCGTAAGTTGCCGGTCGCGCCTTGCCGATCTGGCGTGCTCGATCTCCGTCCGGGGCCAGGGAGTGAACGGCCGGGAGGTTCCGAACACGACGAGGTCCGGGGGAGCCGGTTTGCGCGATTCAGGGTGGGCTTGGCTTGGCTTACTTGCCGACAGGAGGCCTTTCCGCCGATGAATTTAAAACCACAGGGGAGGACAGAGAAAAGGGAGGGGGGTTGGAGGCATTCCCCCCTCTTTTTGCGTGTCAAAGCAAGTTGAGCAAGTAGAAATTCTGCCGCCTCAAATGTAAGTCCACATCTTAAACCAAACCGTCATGCCGAGCTGGACGGACAATGGAGGGGAAAGCAAATGGCCTCCCTTACAGGATGTATTCATTATGGCTTGACGTCGCTGATAAGACGTTACAAGACATGGTAAACCGTTGTTGCTGGTGGTGGTTCTCTCAATATCCATGCTGTCCCCTGCCGCGGTTCTCAGCTCCTGGTTCTCCCCTATCCTATCTCTGCCACCCCGTCTAGTGATTTGGTGCTGCGCTCACACCTTGTACCTAACGCGCAAACAGGAAATGGGAAAGAATTTGCCTATCCTGCTACATATGCGAGACCACGCCTACCAGGACCAAACGCCGCCGCGGAAACAACCAGCCGATCTAGCGTGACTTCTTATCCCCCCCCTCATCCCTCGTTATCCGTAATTCTTTCTTACCGCACGTGTCGAGACACTAGGAGTGTTGCTTTCAAAGAGGCTCGGTTCGTCTCTGAGGTTGTTCCTGTTGGAGAACCCCTACCCTGGGTATGATGCCAGACGGGCATCATCAAGTGTGACAAACGTCGGCAGTGGATCAAGATCAGTGGACCGATACAAGACCAAACGTGTCTTTGCGTTTGCCGAGACTAATCGTCCAGGCGGTACATGCCTCGAAGCACGTTCCAGCACCATTCGGCTGTGGCGTCAACGTCTTTGAGGTCACGAATCCAGGCAATCGACAGGTTAACTGTATCGGTGGCATCCATGTCAAAGGTGTTGTCGCAGAAGCGAGCCCGAATGTTGGATAGGACCGGCACTTGCTGTGAAAGGTGCAAGAGGATGAGGACACCAAGCAGGTTTTGCGTCCAGAAAAACAGGCAAGGCACAAGTCGCTTCCGGTGACAGGTGGGGGCCATGATGATGGGCCATTTAAGCGAGGCCTTCAAGCACTCAGCAACGGCCTTGGCGTCATCGGTACTGAGCATATTGGTATGGTGGAGGGCCTTGTAAATGGCTGGTCGGTAGAGCAGGTACTTTGTGTAGTAATACCGGGTACGGAGCATGGCAACTTGCACATCCGTGGCGTAAGGGTAGGGTGCCGACGGTGACGAGATGTCGGCAGTGAACATGGCCTGCATCTGTTGGGGTGGGTACATGCCACCTTGAGTGAAGAGGTCAGGTATGGGCGTTGAGAAAGCGGAGGCCTGGCCGTCGCTCCACCGCAGGTGCACGGGCAGCAAGGCACGCCACTGATCTAACTGGTATGCTAGGTGGTTGATGGTCGTAATCACCGGGTTTGAGCCTTCGGACGGCTGAGTCTGGCGGTCGGGAGGTGGGAACGGCATGGGCGCCGCTGTGGGGCCGGTGGCTATAGACGAGGGACCCTGGTTAGCAAGCTGTCATTAGTGATGGGGCGGGCCGTAAACGCCGTAAACGCTGTAAACGGCACATGGACGACACGTGGATGGGGCCAGAGGTGTCTTGACGCTAAGACCGATTCGCACCCGTCTAACGCCCGTCTCCGTGACGGAAAAGCCCAGACTCGACATCCCCGTAACGCACCACGGCTTCCTGACCGGAACTACGTCATCGGCAGCCCCCCTGTCCTTTCTCCCTTCGGGGTCCAGGGTAAGCCAGATCGGGATTGGATCCATGTCGCCCTGACAGGCTTGTTCGTGCGAGCGCGAGGAATTCAGAAACTTACCATCTCTCATTGTGTCGTGGAAGCCCACGGACAGTTGTCGGAGGACGATTTGCGATGCAAAGTGCTCTTGGAATCGCGACTCTTGGTTGCCCAGGTAGTCCGCTTCACAAAAAGGACCGCTAAAGTCTGGAAGCCCAACCTTGCCTTCCAGCTTGTCGAGCCCCGTCAGAGGGATTTCCAATTCCAGGTTGAGGTATCTGGTGCACAGTTAGCACACGCCCAGCGCGATTTTTCGTTGACGGGTTGCTCTCACGTCTCCATGATCGAGCAGTGCCAAAAGACTCTGCGAATAAGGTCGAGGCGAGGCGATTCCAGTTCCCCTGGGTTCCTACAATCAATGCGTCAGCCAAACTCCCTAGGCAAGTTCTCCTTCCTGAAAACCAGGTCTGCCGCTGATCGGACTCACGCAGATATCAAGGCATGGCATGCCATGGAAGCCGAAATGGTCATCCGCCAAAACTCCTATTCCCACGTCAATGCTGTAGGAGGGCTGATCTGGTGAATGGGGCCTCGTACCAGATGTCGCGAGCAGCTTTCGTAGTACAGTCCGGCCAGAGCGTGTATCTGCACGCTCTCCAGGCTGCACTCTGCCATGGAGAAGCCCAGTCTTTTCCTCGCTTCATTGAAGAAAGCCAGCCCCGGCGGTCGATCGGCTGCCCGATCTGGCGGTCTCCCCATCTGTCCCTTGTACCGCATGAACGGCATGTTTTGCGAGTCTGCGAGGGCAACCGCGCCAAGGGCAAAGACCAGACAAACCAAGGTCGACGCCACACCCTCGTTGAACCCGTTTTCGACAACAGAGGTGAGTATGGTCGTATTGAAAGCCTGTCGGTCCATGATCGGGTATATGAAGTTGAATGTGTCGAAATAGGCTTTTGAAAGACTCTCCACCGTGGGCCAGTCTAGGTCTGATAGTCGGACAACCGTTGGGTTTCTATGCGCATCAACTCGAAGGCCCAGCAAGGCTCTATCATCCATCGTGAGACCCTCCATCCCATCAGTGGCCAGCTTTCGCCGGCTTCTTTGCTGTTCGAGGAGTTCAAGGGGGGGATCACGATCCTGGATCACGGCGTGGAGATTCGGAATCTCAGTCTGTCCCGAATCAAGAACCTGGCGCACTACGGGCCACGCCATCAGCTTGTGCACGGCCGAAACATACTTGTAAGGCTGAGGCTTTTGCGGCGTGGGACTCGATTGGCCTGAAGGCTGAATGGAGGCTGTCGTTGGTACAGAGTCCCCGCTGCCTCCGCCTGCCTGCGCAGGCGCAGGGCGGGTTTGGCTGCGCTGCGAGGGTTCATATGGTGAAGGATGCACTTGCTGAAACCCCAGTTGGTCAACTTTTCCTTCGATGAGCTTCAGACGGTCCAGAATCTCAGATAACGTTTTGTCTTTTCTAGACGGAGATCAGCGTCAGTACCCGTGGCCGAAAGGCGACCGAGGTAGACGGCGCCTCAAGTGAGAGAACAACCACAGCGACCTTGGCCTTGTACTGGAGGCGTGCGCCTATGGGTTGCAGGTCCTGCGGGGGAGGCAGACTTACTTTGTGGGCTGCGGTTCCCTATACCGGCAGTCGAGTTTGAACTTTTGACACGTTCCACACTTCGGGCGGGCTTCGTCACATTTCTGTTTTCTACTGCGGCACGTTTCGCAGGCCTATCCGGTTGCTGTTAGCAAACCTCGGGGATTACACACCAACTCGATAGTCGACACGACAGGTTATGCCGTCAACAGCCGAGGGCGAGCTGCCCACTCCCTTGAGATTGGCTTGTCGTCGGCGAGCGACTGTCAAGGACGACGAACAACAGGATTTTCGGGTGGGCCTACCTGCGCTGCGATGGCACCTCTTTCCTTGCGTTGGCTGGGTGGTGCACCCGACCCGGCAGAACTCGAGGTGGCCGAGGGAGGTTCGACATTCATCTTTCACCTGATAGTGACGGGAGAGACGAATCGGCTGCTTAGGATACTGGCCTCCCGGAGATTGCCCTATTCCACGCGTTGCGATTCTCCGTTAGTAGCGGGTTGAGCTGGGCGTGGTCAGGATAGTAGACCAGGCGGTGGAGGGCTTGAGTCGGCCGCGATCAGATGGCTCATGTGCTCCATCGAATGTCTGCCTCAAATCCTGGAATGCGGCCCAGGCTGCTCGGGCCTCAGCCAGGCGAAAAGATAGATGCAGTCAGTACAGGTTGCTGCTGAAGTCGTCGTTGTCGTCGTTGTCGTTGCGGTTGTTGCCCGAGAAAGTTGAGATGTGGCTGATGTCGATGGGACAACGAGGCGGGCGCGCTTCTGATTTCCTCGCGTCGCCAGCTCGACTTCCCCTGTCTCCTCTCCTGTCCTCTCTCTCCACGGCAGTTTGGCGATGAATTCCTTTCGTCCTTGGGCTGCTGGGTCTGAGCGGTCCTCTCAAATCCAGAAATGGTTCATGTCACGGTGACAGCGCGAGACCGGGTCGGGACAGGCGGGCAGCCTTGCGAAATATCAGGTGAAACTCTGCGCAGAGTCTGGGTTCTGGTAATCCGGTAAGGGTCGTTGTGGAGGTGGCAGCGGCAGCAACGGCGGCGGCGGCTGCGGCAGGACTAAAGACGAGAGTTGGTGCGGGTGTGTGTGTGCGTATGTGTGCGTGTGAAGCCACCACGATTAATGGTACGTCGGGCCCTGGGCACGGGACACATCGGCGTAAACGGAGCGAGGTGTTTTTTTTCCCAGGTGGTGAGAAAAAAGGGCAAGAGGGTAACTGGTAAGAGCGGGGATGGGAAAAATTCACCCTCATCCGGGCATGGTCTGGGGGACAACAGTAGGTGAGGGAGGCCGGACGGCGCTGGTATGGGGCTGGGGATTGCGGAAGAGAGCCCGACTCCGATGGGGGTCCTGTACAATGCGCGACAGAGTCGGCGGCGGAGGCTGTAGGAGAATTGAGACTTGCGCCCGACAACAGGACAGGCCCGAAGCATGTCTGCAGGTACCTGATCCGTAATGACCACCGAACCCCATTGCCTGAATGAACGAGACACATGCCCGAGCCATGGAGCGCCTGGAGCTGGAGCCCGAGCCTGGAAGATGGAGCCCAGAGGCAACGTGGAGCCTGGCCCCAGAATCAAAACTAGGAGCCAGTGCAGTGTGTACCAAGTACGGCGAGCTGTGTCTGTGCTGGAGAGATGGGCCAGAAAGGCCAACCGTGGCCGCCAAGCATTGTGGAAGACCGGGGACACCTCCCACTCGGATGGAAGAGATCTGCGCTTGCCTTACGAATAAGTGAAGGCATCTGCAAGTGCAGGCAAGTACCTTAGTGTCGACTAGGCTGGCTTGCTTGTCCACCCCCCCGGCGACCGAGACTTTCGCTGACATGGGACCCAGAACCGCACACGGCGGGTACAATCGCTAGAGGCTGCTACCGACCGTGACCATCCGAACGACCTGGACGGTATGGGTTGGTGACCTTCGAGTTGCCATTTGCGCCCTCGCTTGTCGACCCTTCCAGATGTCTGCCAATCGACGATGCCTCAAGGTTGACGGTGGCGAGCCTGCGCCGCGTTCACCACAATTGACCCTCAATATGTATGTTATTAGTAGCCCAGTGCTCCCAGTCGGGGCCTGGCCCGGCCTGGCCTGGCCACCTTCGTTATGTTCTTGCTGCTTCGCCCACTCTTGGCCCCTCCGCGGAGACGGTTGTATGAGCCTGACAAAGCGAGTCGTGACCGAGCGTTACGGCGCAAAGAAGCCGAAAGTGGGCTGCCAGTGGGAAGGGGGCCTGTCCCATATCCCGCCGCTGCTTTGGCTGATGTTGGCCGTTTCTCCCCTACTCTCGGTACATACTAGGCGCGCCCACCGATATCGCGGAGGCGGTGGCAGCTGCGGCTGATGCAGTTGATGGATGCCGTTCTCGTCTCTGAACGGAGCGAGGTTGAGGCGGCGTCAAATGAGTCGTGTCGAGTCAAGTCCACCCACCCCGCCGCGAGCCGGATGACCGGGAATGTCGAGCAGACCGGTGTGTTTGCCGAACATGGATTCCAGGGGTTCACGGCTAGAAGCATTTTCTGCTTCTACTCTGTTTCTGTTTTTGCTTCAGTCTCCAGATGATGACCCTGAAGAGGCGGCGTGTTGCGGGTGATTCAAATGCCCGTCCAAGGTGCTTCAGGCATGCCAGCATCAGCAAAGGGTCGGATGCAAATGCAAATCAAGTTGTTGCACGACAATGTTGAAGTGAATCAAAGTCCATTGACAGGGCCTGAATTGACACTGCAGATCCTGTCTTTCAATTCCCACAGGAAAGATGACGATGGGCGGGGGGGGGGGGAAGAGGG